AGGCAGGGAGGGGGTGGGGGTGGGTGGGCTGCTGCTGGTGGGGCACTGACCTCAGGGCGGCGGCCCTGCCCATGGCCGCGCGGCACATTGACAGGCGCTCCATGGTTTCCTGCAGCTCCTGGCTCCTGGCGCGCTTACCCTGGATGATCTGGTCTCGCTTCTCCTCCTGTGCCCGCTGCTGGGCCTCCCTGAGCAGGGCCAGGCGCTCTCGGAGCTCCACAATGGACATCTCCCCCTCCAGCCCGTGCCCCGGGATCTGCAGAGATGCATCAGGCACCAGGTGAGTGGCCCGCTGGGTCTCGCTGGCCCAGAACTGGGGTGCAGTGGTACCAGTCGCCTCCACAGATGACGCCCCGCCTGCCACTGAGGCCTGGCCTTTCTGCTGCCCCAGCACTGAGGCCACTGTTCGGATGCCACCCCAACAAGAGAGACCTTTGGCAGGGTCACCAGGCAGCTCACAGGACGGTCTGGGGACAGGTCCCCTGGACTCCTGGCCACAGCCCCTGCTCGCTGGACCCTGGACCTCCTTTCCTGGGGTCAGCATCATTCCCTGGACCTCGCATCCCTTTAGTCCCTCCCCCTTGCACCTCTGTTCTGACAACACCTCTCCAGCTGGGGTCTCCTAAAGTTCCCATCCCCTGGACCAGGCAGCCCCTCCCCTCCCTGCCCACTCGGAGGGTCTTCCCAGGCCTGCCAGCTCACAACAAGCCTAGGGTTGTTGGGGTCTCGGTCCATGTCTGTCCCTTGGAGCTGGACCTAGGTCACCAGCATGGAGGGGCTTAGCCCATGGCTATTGATGGTGGATTTCAGAGTGTAATGAGACCCCACCCCCACCCCCTGGCAGGGTGGGCTTTCTGAACATGCCCTTCCAGCTCCGTTATGAGCCTGGCAAGACAAGTGAGGGCGTGGGGGTGGGGGCTGGGGGGCAAGCCCACCTGGGTCAGGTCCACCAGCTTGCCTGGGTGCACAGGCTGTGTCTCCATGGCACGCAGCTGGGAGATGAGCTCGCACCGCTGCCGCTGCTGCTCCCGGGCTTCCTGGGCGCTCTGCTGCAGCAGCTCCCGGCTCTTCTCCATCACCTCCTGAGCTTGGGGGCCAAGCGGGGTGCTGAGGGGCCTGGCGGCGGCCTCGCCTGGGGCCTGCCAGCCAGCACCGCAGCTCGCCCACCATACCGATCTGCCGGCGGCCCTTCACCAGCCTTGTCTGCACCACCCGGACGTTCTTCTGTGCCTCCGCCACCTGCTCCACCAGCTGCTTCATGGACCTTTGCTCCTGGAGGCGCCTCTCGGCACACTGCTGCCTCAGGGCCACCGCCTGTCAG